TGTCACCCAGTTAATGCAGAGAGAGAGAGAGAGAGAGAGCACCCACATGCACAAGAAGGTCAGGAAGGACAGGGCCCTGGATGGGGGGGCGGGACTATTAATGTGTAGTCAGGGAGAGGTGTGCTGCAGACCAGGTGTGTGCAACACAGAAGAAAACCTAAGGCGAGTGCTGGCCAGCAGCAGGTAACCATTTGGGAGTTACAACCTTTGGTTTAAAACCGTGTGTTCTAGCAAAGTGTGCTGGCCAGCACCTCTAATCAGAGCATTGCGGGGACTGAGGCAGGAGGATTGTGAGTTAGAGCTCAGCCTGGTCTACATAGGGAGTTTAACACCAGCCTAGACTACTTAGAGAAACACTATCTCAGAAAAAAAAACAAAAGTGTGTTGTAAACCACCAAATGCTCTATCTTTCTAGGAGAGCCAGGGCTCCAGGGGAAAATTACTGACCTAGAACCTGTGGAAAAGCACCGGCTGCCTTTTTAACCAGCACTGGCCACTGATTAAAACATGCACCCATAAAACATGCTGGCCTTCTTTGACCCTGATCCGGTGGCCTGCTAGTCTAGACTGGGGTGTTGGAAGAAGGCTGGCTGATAGGCCGTTCCTTTGGTGAGAGGAACAGCCTTTTTGCCCAGCCTCCCACCCCTTATAGACCAGTCTGGTGCTGGGCCACCTCCTGGGTGCATTCTTTGCTCCCGCCCCAAGCCTGCTGCATTTTGTTTTAACAGCCCCAGGTGATTCGGATGCACCCTCAAAGTGAGAACCACTATGGCAATGAGTAAACCACCCTGTCCCGGAAGGTGGTTATCTGGCAGCTCACCTCAGCTCAACTTGGTTCTAGATGCCATCTAGGCCAGGAACCTATGGCATGTGTGCCACAGCCAGCTATTTGTATCATTGAAAGCTCTGAAAGGTTCGCCATCAGTGGTCTAGGCAATACTGGAGGACCCTCACATTAATTAGGTCAGAGCCCCCCTCAAGTTCAGCCTCCTTAGCAGCTTTAGCCTCATACTTTCAGGCTCCATCTCTGGACCAGGTGTGAAAAGCGACGCTGAGCAGAAAAAGGGATCATGGAGCTCACTTCCAGTATTACCCTTCTTTGGGACCCAAACCCTGGGCAGGTGTCCAGGACCTGGAAGCTGCTGTCTTAATATATTGCATCCAGCTTTGCAATCAGGTACCATGGGGCACTAAGGTAAAACCCCTGTATCCCTGACTGCCTGACTCTTTCTCAGCTCTGCCCTGCCCTGGAGAGAACCTGCATGGGAGGCCTCGTCCTGCTCTGTACCAGCCCTCAGACCCACCGTTCCCCACCTTCCACCCATGGCAGTGGCAAGCATGCTCCAGCTAGGGGCGTGGTCCTCGGGGTCTGAATTTCTCAGTGGAAGAACTCTGGGTACCCAGAGCCCATGAGTGCCAGATATGTAATAAGGGCTCAATAAATGTACCCTCTGTTCTGACAAGAATAGAACAAGTAAGCAGGGCAAAAGCTTGCAGGCTGTAGCAAAGCTCCTGTGTCTCCCCAGAATACTTAGTATAACCTCCTGCTGCACCTGCGTCACATCTTAGTGGGACTCTCCAGAACCTTGCTGTTTGCAGCTGCTATTGAAGTGGTCCCTGCACTCTCATCCACTTTACCAGTGTGTTAAGCCTCCTAGCTGGGTCCTTCTGAGCATATTTCTTGTCCCAAGTAGGGATCCTGTCTGGCTGGAAGCGCTGTTGTCAGGATTAAATAAAACAAGGTATGCCCAGCCTAGAAGAGCATTCAGTAACTCAGGTATTTGGCTTCCTGTTGTTACTCCCCTCACCAAGGACAGAAGTGTGGGCAATTTTGGAAATGATTTCTGCCACCCTGAGCCATTTGCGTCAGAGAATCCCTTCAAAAATGGGTGTAGTTGGTGTGAGTTTAAAACAGTTGATGGCTGGGCCTGGTGGGTTGCACCTGTAACATCCAGGATGGATGCTGAGGCAGGAGGATCACTTCAAGTTTGAGGCCAGCCTCAAAGTGAGTTCAAGGTGAACCTGAACTGCATAGCAAAAGCCTGTTTCCAAAAGATAAACAAAAAAATGATGATGCTTCCACTTGAAGTTTCTGGGACCCTTTATACTTGTGACCTTCTGCTTCCTGTGTCCAACTCCCTCCTGTAGCCCCACAGGTCACCAGCAGCTGAGCTACCACTGCAGGTCTGCCAAACAGAGTGACCAGCCTGTGTCCACTGAGGTTGGGCAGCTTCCTCACTAGACCTATTTTTTGACTTGAAGAATATACTGGCTGTGTGTTTGTGTTTCCTGCCTGGGACAGGGAGCAGCCTTGACGTCACGTCGCCTGTGTGGTGGCACCTTGTTCTTTCCTGTTCTGTAGCTTTGCACGTTACTGGGCATCAGAGAGTGTTTATTGTTGCCAGTTCTGAGCTGAATTAAATAATTTCCTTAAGTTTGGGTAGCGCTTTAATATTTCAAAGCATCCCGTGTACATTTTAATTTACCTTGTGACAACCGTGCAAGTTAGCTGTTTCTCCACACCCCTGCTGCCCTTTTGAAAAAACCGAGGCTCTCCAACGTGCACAGCTTGCTTGGCATCATACAGTCGTGGCCACAAACAGCTCAGGCTTCCTGACAGTCAGTGCTCTTCTTGCTGTACTGGGGTGGAAGTGGGGAGCAGGTTTGTAAGTCTTCCCCAGTTGGGCCACTGTTGTTTTCCAGATACTGAGAAGTGTTCCTCCTTGATCCAAGAATGTCAGGTGAATTGCATTCAGATTTTATGTCTGAGAATGGGAGCCAAGGCCTCCTCTGTATGTGTTCCCTCTCCTGCCTCCCCCTCCCCTTCCTCTGCCCCGCCTCCAGTACTGAGCTGTATTCCCACCCTTTTTTATTTCTTGTGAGACAGAATTTTGCTATACTGTGCTCACACTTGAGATTCTCCTGCCTTACCTTCGAGAGTGCCCCACCTAGCTTCACCTTTTATTTAGCCTTCACCTTTGCTGTGTTGGAGACCTACACTGGACATTTGTCAGGAGACAGGAGGAGGGACAAGCAGTTGTCCGGGCCCTGAATGACCTGAGCTCTTCCCCAGCCCCTAGCTGAAGGGGGTTTGTGTGCCCCTGTCAGGACGCTGGCGTCCAGCATTTAGTTCTAGTCCTAGGAGGGAAATGTTGGAAGGTCTAGTAGGATCTCTTGGCAGAGACCACTCCAGAGGTGCTTGGTAGTGGTGCTCAGGAACCAGGCCTCTGTTGTCAGGACCCACAGTGCCTCTGTTGCAGTTGGTCCTATGGATGAAGCAGCCTTTCTTTTGCATTTTTGTTTTTCTGCCCTTGAATGGCATGTTACTCCTCCCTTCTTCCCTTCTTTTCCTTCATTCCAAAACAAATAGGGCCCAATGCCTTTCTTTACATTGGAAGATTCTGTATTATTAGTGAGACTGAAGTCAGGGAGGCCCGGGTGTTTTCCCCAGATACCTCCTCAGGCCTGAAGGCTGCTAGGTGGAGTACCATGAAAATTGTCACTGGTGAACAGAGAATATAGAAAGCAGTAGAACCTAACCAACTTGAAATTCAAGTCAGGAAGTTTATGAGGCCCAACCGCGTGTGTGGCGCTGTGCCACAGCCGTTGGTACTGTCCTTGGTGGTCATCCACGGCAAAAGTGTGACGGCACCTACCTTGCTGGCACTGTGACCCCTGTGAAGTTATTTTCAGCCTCTGTGCCTTGGTTTCCTTATTTGTTAATGTGGAAAATAATAGCACCCACCTCATAGCTTGTTGTGAAGATTCCATACTTAAAGGAAGTGTGCCATGCTCGGAGAAGTGGCCTGTGTAAAGGAAGTGCTTTGTAAATATTAGCCTCTATTACATAACTGACTCACTGAGTTGAGTCAGTGAATAACTATTTCAGCTGTAGCTGTTGCTGTCATCTGCATTTTGATTACATTTCAGATGTGAGTTTGGAAATGAGAATTTGTGAAAGTGAGAATTTAGTAGTTTCATTTGAGGTCTTTTACAATCCTATAAAGATATTTTAAATTTTTATGAACTATAAGAAAGTTCACTTTTTGATTAATTGATGTATTAAAATGACATAGTAAGTATCCTCTAATTTAGTGGCTTTAAGTAAGTCTTGAAAATATGCTCATCACTTCCCTTGTAGCAATTTAGAATTTGGAAGAGATGAGTGATTTCGAAAGGGCCTGATTATAATGCCTGCCCATCAGTGAAAAATGAGGAAATGAGACATTTTTAACAATGTAGATTATTTTGGGTTGCTCAAAGTGACAACTTTATCAGTCTTACAATGAATAGACTATTGCTGGACTCAAGTAATAAGTTATTAAATGAGATTTCAATTTAGCTATTTGTAAACCTCTCTTTTTTGGGGGGGGGGCTTCTTTTTGAGACAGGATCTGGCTATGCAGTTCAGGCTGACCTTGAGCTCACTTTGTAGCCCAGGCTGGTCTCGAACTTGGAACCATCCTCCTGCCTCAGCTTCCCCGAGTGCTGGGATTACAGGTGTGTGCCACCACGCCCGGCTTCTCAGTCATTTCTTAAAATACTTGCAAATAAGCCAGAAATCTGGTTTCAGTGCAAAACTTGGTACAGAGTATTTAACCTTAACGTTTATGTCATTTGCCAAACGTGTGATCATTTCCATTAAGTATTTGAGAGTGTGCTACGTAATCTTTTTTACAATGGGAATTTTAAACATGAATTGGGCTGGGCATGGTGGTGCATTCCTGTGATCCCAGCACTCAGGAGGCTGAGGCAGGAGGATTACCATGAGTTCGACAGACAGGTCTCAGCACACCACTCTGGCTTCTAGAGAAGACTTTTATCAGAAGCGGTTATTGGGCTGGGGAATTTAGCTCAGTGGCACAACGCCTGCCTGGCAAGTGCAAGGTCATGAGTTCGATTCCCGGTACCGGAAAAAAACCAAAAAAATAAAAATAAAACACAAGCCAGAAGCGGTTATTGACATTCTTTGTTTTTGTGTACTTGCTCTTTGTTTGCAGTGATTTAGCCCTGCGGAATTGTTTTCTTACCTCTGACTTAAATGTGAAAGTGGGAGATTATGGAATTGGATTCAGCAGGTACAAGGTAAGCTAAAAGTTTAAACACTGTCTCCTTAATGTGATCTAATTTCAGTCCTGAAGTTATAGTACAAATTCATTTTGGGGGTGAGGGTCCTGGTGCCTCACTGGAGCGGGGTTTGTTCCCTCATCTTAGTGATACTGTTGGTTTCTGGTGCATGGTTTGTCTAATAAATCAGTGGCTCTGTCCCCTGAGGGTTTGTGACAGCTTTCCAGATGCTTTGTTGAAAAGGATTTGCCGGGCACTGTGTCACATGCCTGTAATCCCAGCACTGGACAGACTGAGGCAGGAGGATCACTGTGAGCCTGCGTGAACTACCACATACCGAGACCCTGGCTCAAAAAATAAATAAGTGCATTTGTACTGAGTGTAATTGATGTAGTATGGTGGTACATAATAAATTTCAAAATGAACATGTGAACAATAATTACATTACCTGTATAACAAAATAACATGTCATGTAGAATTTCTTCATTACATGGTCAGTAAAATTGTGGCTCAAATTCACTAAGCTTGGGATTTAGGTGTTTAACTCTGTCGTAAATATACCCCTAAAAGAAGAGCAGAGAAGTAGGTGAGATTTCGTGTGTGTGTGTGTGTGTGTGTGTGTGTGTGTATGTGTGTTCCAACTGAATGAGGGGACACAGTGAAATTGTACAGCTCTGTGCTAGCAGGAGCCTCACACAAGTTACGTGACCTTCATTTTCTAAGCAGCAAAACAAGGATAATATCTGTCCTATTTTACTGAATGCTTAGGGGAGGGATGTCAAGGGATAATGTCTTCAAAACATGTTACATACATTGGTTATTCATCGGCGTGGCAGCTCTAGTGTCTTGAGTGCTTGCTGTCTACCAATCACTGAAGTAGCTCCCAGGGTTATCATTCAGGGCTCCCACCTCTGCCCAGAGTCACATCCCTAGTAACTGAGGGAATGAAAAATGAATGATCCAGTCTCTATTTATTTAGGGCTGGGGATTGAACCTAGAACCTTCACACTAAGCTACCTCCCCAGGCTCTTCTCTCTCTCTCTCTTTTTTAATTTGAGACAGGGTCTCAATAAATCACCAAGTTACCCAGGCTGGGTTCTAATTTGTGATCCTCCTGCCTCAGCTTCCAGAGTGGTGAGATTATAGGCATGTACCCACATATTCCTGCCTGAGCTTTTCTTGCAGATCAATGGAATGCCCCCTCCTCAGTTCAGAGGGCCCCGCACGTGTTGGAAGGTGGCTTGCTGAGACCACGTGACTGCATGCCGCGTACCTTCCTCTTGCAGGAAGGGTGACTGAGCGCTCATGGCTCAGAGGCCAGCTCACCATGCCCAGGAGGCTTCAGAGAAATGCCTCACTCCCTTCTTGCCACCCAGAAAATCTCTCTTTATCTTTACTTTATTTTCTTCATGTGTTTTGCGGCAGGGTATTTTGGTGTTTTCTTAGAAAGACCTGGCATTAAGTTACTGATCTCACAAAAAATATAATTCTACTGAACACTCTATGTGCTTTCTGATAACACAGGAAGATTATATCGAGACAGATGATAAAAAAATTTTCCCTCTGCGATGGACTGCACCAGAGTTAGTAACCAGCTTCCAAGAAAGACTACTGACTGCAGAGCAAACTAAGTATAGTAATATCTGGTACGTATCTGTTTCCCGCTTTATTAAGTCTCTCTCTGGCAAGGGCCGATGTCCTTCTCCCTGGGTGTGAAAGTAACGGTAAGATGCGGGAAGAAGCGTGCCTGACGCTGTGCAGAGGCAGCTTAGGGACGCCGTGGCATGATCACCATGGCCATGGTGTGATGCACTCTGAACGTGGCCTGTATTGCCTACTTTCCTCCCTAAAAACAGAAACCACATCTTACTTTATATTCTGTATCTTCCACAGGGCTTACCGTACAATAGGTATTTAGTAAATATTTACTCAAGGTGATAAAAAAAGCAAAAGGGGTTCAGGCTGTTAGGTGATACAGTGCTTCATAGGAGTCAGTTTAGTGAATGCTAAAAACAGTGTCCAGATTGTTGGCTAACAATTTCTGTCAGTGTTCTTAATTGATAGCTGCATATTTTTTGATGCTGTTTTCCTCCTCTGTCTCTTTTTCTTTCGGTTTGATTTTCCTTTAACTCTCTTTTTCCTCTTAGTCTGGAGGTGTATCCTTGAAACGATAGCATGGTTTACTTCACTTACTTTAATCTAACACTTGATTTGGTAGCCCTCTTAGAATACTTTAATTCAGTTTACCTGTATACCATGTGTGCAAATACTCACACAATTAATGTTATCTTAACTTTTACTTTTACCACCCCCCCAGACTGTTTTTTTAAACATCAGCATGCATTTAGATTTATCCATATAATAAACCACTTTGCTCTTTTTCTTTTTTTAATCTCAGACCTTCCCTTTAGGATTATTCTCCTTTTGCTTGAAATGAAAGTCCTTCATTGGGGTCCACTGGTGAAAGACTATTCTTTTTTTTGTATGTTATAGCTTTATTTTGTCCTCATTCTTGAAATGTATTTTTACTTGATGACAGTTACTTTCTCTTAGCATGCTGAAGAGATATTCCTGTCTATTGGCTTCCACTGTTGTTTTTGAGAAGTCAGCTATAGGTCTGCCCCAGTTCTTTGAAGGTAAATAACTTTCTCGCTGGCTGCTTCTCAGATCTTCTCTGTGTCCTTTGTTTTTTCTGCTTTCACCGTAGTATGTGTGTGGATTGATTCTTTTTTGCTTGTGATTTATTTGGGTTTCTAAATTTGTAGGTTGGTGGTATTTCCTAGTTCTGAATGATAGTTAGTCTTTATCCTTTAAATATTGCCTTTGCCATATTTTCTCCTTTTTAGAAGTGAAATTAGACACAAATTACGGCTTCTTGCTCTCTTTTTTGTCTCTTAATCTCTTACATAATCTGTCTCTTTGTCTATGCCACAGTCTGCATAATTTTTCAGACCTGTGCTCCAACCACTCATTCTTTCTCTAAAATTCTGTCTTGGCTGTATCTGTTCTACTGTTAAATCTCTCTGTTAATGTTCAAGGTTCTGGGAATTACTTTTGTTTGTGCTTTTGTATTTGACCTTAGCCAAGAAGCCTTGTTCGTTTGTTTATAAAATTTGTCACGTTTTTATAATCAGATTAATTATTAATTAATAATTGCAGTAACTAAAGCCGTGGTCCTCTAGGCTGTTGGTGGTGCCTTGTTTCCTCTGGGACTTCTCTGTGGTGAGAACCCTTGGATACCTAGACCGAGGCACCTTCCTCCAGGAACACCTGTACTTGCTTCAGCTAGGTGCCTGAGTGTCCTGCTATGTACAGGGGACAGCAGCACTAGGCCAGGGCTTTCCATAGTCAGTGTTGGGTTTTTGGACCACTCATGATGTGAGTTTGGGCTGCACATCCAGGTAAGGACCAGCTCTGCGGTTACTTCTTCACATACACACCCTTATACATGCATATTTATTCTCACCCTTGAGGGTGAGAATTCTCACTCCTTGTCTCTCTCCCTCCCCCAATGCTATGGCAGCTTTGCCTTTTAAGGAGGTGACATGGTCTCTCTGTGAGACCTGCTACCTTGGGCAGGCCCCGGCTTTGATTTGTGACTGTCACCCCCTCTTAAACCTGAGAAGTGCCTCAGCAGAGGTGATTCAGTGTATCCCTTGGCACTCTGAGTTCTAGACAGTATCCTGGTGATTCCTTTGTGTGTTCCTTTCATGCCTATCCCCTGCTCTAACCTCCAGTACGGGAGATTGAACCTAGGGCCTTTGCACTAAACTATGGCCCCAGATTTTTTTTTTTTTTTTTCTGTTTTGAGAGGGTCCTACTAAGTTGCCCAGGCTGATCCCAAATTTGGGATCCTCCCGCCTCAGCCTCCCAGAGTGCTGGGATTATAGGCATACACCACCACACCTGGCTCCTTTCGTCTTCTTATGTTTCATCCCAAGTTCTCACTGTGCTTCAGGGATGATGAACCTGAAAATATAGCCTGTGTTCTCTGAGGCTGAGCAGCCCTTACTCCTGACAGTCGGAGCAGTCCCTAGTGGCATTGTGGGTGCTTCCAAATGCAGAAGCTCCACTGCTCAGGCCAGGGTGACTAAAAGGGACCTTGGGCAGAGAGCCTGGGGAAAGAGGGGAAAGACCTGTGGGGCATTTTTCTTCCCAGAGGAGCGAGGCTGGATGATCCTAAGGAGCTAGAAGCCTGTGCTTCGAGTCCTCTGAAGGGTCCTGGCTTGGAGAGTGGGTGGGAAGGGGCCTTACTGGAGAACAGAAGGGAGCGGGAGGTGGTTCGCGATGTGGAACCCAGGGTCAGCCCAGGCTTAGTGGAATATAACGCATTTTGCTACTCATCACATAACACCTTTTTGGTTTTTAGTATTTCATTTGAATTTCTCATATTTTCCCTCAGTTAAATTGTAAACTCTTTAAAGTCACTGATGGTGTCTTAAATTCTTTTGGTACAGAAGAAATGTGTGTACCCTCACAATTCTGTGCTGAGGAAGAGAAGCGCTTCTTTCTTGCAGGGTTGGAGTGGGAGACTTAGGTTCTTTTATTTCTTTTGACAAAAATGATCTCTCAACTTAGATACTGAATATGCTAAATTTTTCTACTCATTTATAAAAATAAGAAAATTTAAAGTTGTACTTTACGATTTCAGATAAATTGTTGTGTCAATGGAGTTTGTTACTCAACTACGCATTCTAGATACATACTGACCAGAGTCCCATAAATCATCGATACCCAGTCTAGCAGACGGCCAAATCATTGGGCAGCTTTTGCGCCAGTTTCCTAGGCCACAGCTGATCCGCTTGCTCAAGGTCCTTGGGGGTGGATCACACTAAGTGTCATCGTGCGTGTTTCAAGCTTTATAGACGCCAAATGACTGCTGTGTTCGGGAACATTTCACTAGGAGATTCTCAGCAAGACAAGGAAATGCAGAGAGACCTGGAAGAAAAGGAAAAGTACTTCACTTAGCCCAGCAGCTGGGGCTGTTTCCAGGGGAATGGAGCCCTGGGTGTGAGAGCAAAAAGGAGTCTCTCACTGCAGTGATTCAAAGCTGAAGCCTCTTCTGGAATCAGCAGCCAGGAGCCTAGGGCACCAAGGAATAACCAGAACAAGAGATGCGGGGGTCTAACAGGGAAGAGAATGTTTGCTCGTGTAAGGATTTCCTTAAGATACTTTCTGGTGTTTTACAACTGTTATGAATGGGATTTTTTTTCTACCTCAGAATTCAGAGTATTAATCTTGTCTCCAATCTTTTTGCTGAGGACTTAAAACATGTCAGTGTCTTTCACGTCGTTTCTTAAGTCTTTAAGCTGACAAGCATATCTGCATAATGATGCTTGTTACATCTGTTGCATATTTCTATGGGTTGGCCCAAACTTCTAGCATGTTATTTGCAGTAAATGTGAGGACACATTCTTGTCCTCTTCATTTTCATGGAAATGCCCTCCCTTTGCTATTAACTGTGATATCAATTATTGGTTTGAGAGTTTTTTTATTTTGTAAATGATCTTACTGTTAATAGCCTTTTCAATACACACCTTGTCCTTGAAATTCCTGACTGTACAAACAAAAATGTATATGTTAAGAATTTGACATCTAAGAGGAGAGAGAAATAGTCATGTTCTGTTTCCACAGGTCTCTGGGTGTGACACTATGGGAGCTTTTTAATAATGCTGCTCAGCCCTATGCAAACCTGTCTGACCTGGACGTCCTCAATCAGGTCATCAGAGAGAGAGACACAAAGCTCCCAAAGCCCCAGTTGGAGCAACCCTATTCCGATAGATGGTCAGTACCTTCTTGTTCTGCTTTGTCACCTGTAAAAGACAAGGAAGTCGTATTTCCTTAGTTTATATGTTTCCTATATATCTATTTAGTAAGTAGTAGAGATTGAACCCAGGGCCTCTGCACTGAGCTACATTCCCAGCCTGTTTTATTTTGACAGGGACTTTCTGAGTTGCCCAGGCTAAACTTCAACCTGCAGTTCTGCTGCCTCAGCTTCCTAGAGTGGTGGGATTACATGTGTGACCACCACACCCATTTTTTCCTATTTTTAAACAAGACACGAAAAGCAACCATTTTACACTATTTGTGACTGATTTAAGAATTAATATTCCTATTTAAATTTCAGTATTATTTTCAAAAAATGTTTACAACAGGCAAGAATTTGTATATTATGTGGAATAAAAAATGTTGAATTAGAAAAACTAGTAGTAAGGGAGTTTTCTGTTACGGAATTGTTTTAAAACAAGGTTATTTATATAAGCAATGACTCATGTGTGAGAACTTGGATAGCATAAAAATGATAGTGTTCAAATTGGCAATGGGAACTAATTTGCATAGTGTATATTGACACTTGCAAAACAAATTTACTTTTTATGCAAGTCTTTGGACTGTTTCTTGCTATATTCCCAGTTAGGATCAGCTTTGCCTCCCTTCCAACTGCTGCCTGTACCCCCACTGCCCAGCTGGCAGCACCCTGTTTTCAGGTGCTGCTCAGCTCCCTGGGTTGCTAAAGTTGTCTCACCCAGAACGACTCAACATACATAATCTGTAAATGCACTGCTGTGACCTTGTCTTTGTCTTCGCTTCTGCTTGTGGGTACAGTTTAAGATTTTGGACATAGTCATCCAGCCCTGCAGAGACTGTCTTGGTTACTGGTCTCATGGCTGAGACATAATACCTACCATTCAAAGTGAAGGGAGGAAAGGTTTATTGTAGCGTACAGTTTGTGGAGGTTTCAGTGCATAGTCTGCTGATTCTAAGGCAGCGTGGCACAGCAGAGGGGCCTTGCAGAGAAGAAACAATCCATAGCAAAGCAGGCAAGAGGCAGCAAAGCAGCAGGCTTCCCTTGCCTTTTTACCCATCCAGGCTACAAGCCTTTTGGGTGGTGCCACCCACACTCAGGGTGGGCCTTCCCGTTTCTATTCCCAGGTCTATGCTAAACCAATTTAGTTATCACACAGCCTTAATCCCAGAATAGAACACCCTAATCCAGCATCACATACCCACGATCCAGCCATCTCCAAAAAGCCCCCCATATGAGTGTGTGAAGCTTTGTGGGACATCTAGATACAAGCTATAACAGAGATCCACTTTTTCTCTCCAGCTATTACCTGATCGCAGGAAGCCACAAGCCACAGAAACTATTATTATTAGGGGTGTAGAGATCAGCTACAAGAACATTTGTCCATACGAATTCTCACAAAATAGAATGAGTAAATTAAAAAGCATGAGATAGTGCGTGTGTTAAGAGAGAATGGTAGACCTGTTTATGAATTCATTGGCTGAGTCATTGCATAATCACCAGAAGAACAAATAACGTAGCAAATGAATTGCAGCTAAATACCTTGGAATGTCCTGAAAACAATAACAATGAATGGGCCAAGCTGGGCATGGTGGCGCATGCCTGTAATCCCAGCACTTGGGAGGCTGAGGCAGGAGGATTGCAGTGAGTTTGAGGCCAGCCTGGGCTACATAGTTCAAGGCCAGCCTGAACTACATAGCAAGACCCCGTCTCAAAAAGAAAACAACAAAAAGAAAAAATGAATGGCCCAAATACTTCTTGCACCATGATCTCCCCAGGAACAGAGCTCCTTATGGTGGTTCGCAGTGAGATATAGAAACATTTGAGGGTGTTGAGTTGGCTGTCAGGGTCCTTGAAGGGCTTTTCTTATTTTGAAATAATTTAGTATTGTTTCGCTAACTGCCTTTCCTGTGCCACCCAGGTACGAAGTTCTCCAGTTCTGTTGGCGGTCACCAGACAAGCGGCCAGCAGCCGAGGACGTGCACAGACTGCTGACTTACCTGCGGATGCAGAGCCAGCGGGACCCGGAAGTCGACTTTGAGCAACAGTGGAACGCTCTCAAGCCAAACACCAACAGCAGAGACACCTCAAGCAATGCAGCGTTCCCAATCCTCGACCACTTTACGAGAGATCGGCTGGGTCGAGAGATGGAGGAGGTCCTCACAGTGACCGAAACAAGCCAGGGGCTGAGCTTCGAGTATGTGTGGGAGGCCGCCAAGCACGATCATTTCGATGAGCGCAGCCGGGGCCACCCAGATGAAGCCTTGTCCTACTCCAGCATCTTCTTTCCTGTCGAAGTGTTTGAGAGCTCCCTTTCCGATCCCGGGCCCGGAAAACAAGATGACAGTGGCCAGGAGGTCCCGCTTAGGGCCCCTGGGGTGGTTCCTGTGTTTGATGCTCACAACCTTTCTGTTGGAAGCGACTATTACATCCAATTAGAAGAAAAAAGCGGCAGCAACTTGGAGCTTGATTACCCACCCGCAGTACTCACGACGGAAATGGATAACCCAGACAAGGCAGGAGCTGAGGCATCGCAGTTCACAGCCCTCAGGAACCTTGACTTTGAGGAATCTAGTACAGATGAGGATTTCTTCCAAAGCAGTACAGACCCTAAAGATTCTAGCTTAGCCGAGGACTTACATGTTACCAGTGGCCCTGAGAGCCCTTTCAACAATATATTCAATGATCTTGAGAAAGCTGAGGATTTGCCCAGCCACCAAAAAATATTCAACTTAATGGAACTCAATGGCGTTCCAGCCGACTTTAAGCCAACCACTGTAGGTTCAAGTTTGGAGGACTCCAGAAAGTCAGGAATAAGTTGCCGCTCTGACAAAGAAAAGCCCTGTAAGCTTTTTGATCATGAGCCTTTGTGTTTATCAGAAAACCTTTTGCACCAAGATCACTTTGATCCATTGAGTGTTCAAGAATTGTCAGAAAACTTCCTGTTTCTTCAAGAGAAAAACTTACTCAAAGGCTCGCTGTCTAGCAAGGAACTTATAAATGATCTTCACACAGAACTTAAGAATGCTGGTTTTACTGAAGCCCTGTTGGAAACATCACATAGAAACTCTCTAGACAGTGAGCTTAACTTTGCTGAAGATGCACCCTGCTCTGCTGTGTCACAGGAGAACACAAGCACCAGGGGTGAAGATGCAGGTGTCACACTCAAGGGTGCGACTCAGAGCACCTCAGTTCCATCTTCCCCGGAAGCACAGGTACCTCCTACCTCTCTCCCAGCAAAAGAAACATCTCCTGGTGGCCCCTCAGATTCACTTCCGAAGCCAGGAGAAGGCAAGCCCACAGGTTTGGACTGCAGTGTCCCTGAGCACTGTCCCTGCCAGGACCCTCACCCAGACTCTATGCCCACCCCCACTGAAATTCCCTCCACCAATGCCAGCACCCCCAGCATGGACAGTGGGCCCCCTGACAGGACTTGCCAAAATGAGGAGGCCTTAAGACTAACAAAAAGGGACGCTGCCCTTGTGGATGGTATTCTTGCCAGTCAGGCCAGTATACGGGACAGTCTTCCAGAACCCAGACAGGACTTACAGAGTCAGCCCTTTTCAGAAGACCAGCATGGTGGCAGTTTCCAGGAGAAAAACTTAGAAGCCGTGGAGACTTTAAATCAGCTCAATTCTAAGGATGCCACCAAAGACACAGGCTTGGCGTCTGCACTTTCCTCAGATTCCACCAGCCAGGACAGCCTCCTGGAAGACAGCTTATCCACAGCCATCCCAACCTCTGAGCAATCTGTGGAGACCCCAGACTCCCTGGATTCTGTGGACGTCCACGAAGCTTTACTAGAGTCCTTAGGCTCCCGCACCCCTCAGAAGCTCGTGCCCCCTGATAAGCCAGCAGACAGTGGCTATGAAACGGAGAACTTGGAGTCTCCTGAGTGGACTCTGCACCCTGCCCCTGAGGGCACCTCAGATTCAGACCCAGCTGCTGCCGGAGACCCTGGGCATAGCAGTTTGCTCCCCAACCCAGTCATCGTCGTCTCAGATGCAGGCGATGGCCACAGAGGGGCAGAAGGCGCCTCACAGACCTTTGCCCCGGGCTCCCAGAGCTCATATCGAGACTCTGCGTACTTCTCAGACAATGACTCGGAGCCAGATAAAAAGTCCGAGGAGATCCCAGGAGCCTCCACCTCAGCCTTGGTGCTGATAAGGGGCGAGGCGCTGTCCGAGCCAGTCATCCCAGAGCAAAGCCCAGGTGCCAAAGACAGCTGCCTGGAAGCCCAGAAAAGCCAACCAGATCAAAGTTGTCCGTCTGTTCTGCAGAATCCTGGCAACCTGCAGTTGGGAGAAGTGTTGGAGCTAGCACAGGCTGATGTTTCCAAACAGACACATCCTGTGGAAGATGAGGCCAGCAGCCCCTTAAGTTTGCTGAATTCAGAACTGAGTAGTGGCGATGACTTTGAGGCACAGGAAGATCATCACTGCATCCTCACCTCGACGGGAACCAACACTAATGAACTCCTTGCATACACAAACTCTGCCGTGGACAAGTCCTTCCCCAGCCACGCCGAGGGCCCCAAACTGAAGGAGCCAGACATCGAAGGGAAATACCTGGGCAAACTCAGCGTGTCCGGGATGCTCGACCTCTCCGAGGACGGAATGGATGCTGATGAGGAGGATGAAAACAGCGACGACTCCGACGACGACCTGAGGGCCTTCAACCTGCACAGCCTCAGCTCTGAGTCGGAAGACGACACAGAGCATCCTGTGCCCGTGATCCTCAGCAACGACGAGGACAGCCGGCACTTGCGGAGCCTGCTGAAGCCGGCAGCAGCCGCAACTGTGGCCATCAGTCAGCTGCCTGAAGACTGGAAGAAGGAAAAGAAGGCAGTCACTTTTTTCGATGACGTCACAGTCTACCTGTTTGACCAGGTATATGTTACCTCAAGATTATTTGATGTCTATATCTGTGTTAGAGAGTTTAACCCTGTGTAGTATAGTCTGTTTTTTATTGCCATTTTGAGACAAGATGGTGACTGTACAAAGTAACTTGGGGTTGGTTACATTTCCAAGATTAGGCAGAAATATAATTCATAGTTCTTACAGGGAACTCAAATTAAGGGCAGGACACCTGGATGGTTTTCTGGATCTCCTTTTTTTTTTTTTTTTTTTTTTTTTTTTTTTTTTTTTTTTTTTTTTTTTTTTTTTTTTTTTGCTATACTAGAGATTGCTATACTAGAGATTGATTCACACTGAGCTTACATTTCCAGCCCTTTTTTAAAAAATCTGTTATTTTTAAACAGGTTTTAAATTGTGGAGGCTGGGCTTGAATTTGTGATCTTCCTGCCTCAGCCTCGAGAGTAGGTGGGCGTACAGACATGGGCTGCTCTGCCCAGCTGTTTTCATCTTCCTCTCTGCTGCACAGTGCCTTATGCACTTTTGTTCCACTGTGCCCCATTCACTTTGTTCTTACGATGCTTCTCAGAAAAATCCGTAAACCTCCATATTTGAATACAGCTTGTGTGCTGGGAGGGTGGGCAGCGGGTGTGGTTAAAGGAAGAAAAGTGGCTTCCGGTGCTCAGCAGATCTGAACCTCAGAGGGGCCAGCGGCTGCCTTGCTTCCGCCCGTCCCCGGTGCTTCTCACCCACACCTGCCCTGAGAAGCTCTGTGCCGAGGGAGCTGCAGGAGTAAGGGTCATGCCCACCGGGAGCAGCAGGGAAAGAGGGCCGAGGCAGGATGGAAGTGCAGGGTTTGAGAGACGAACATTTGGGGCTCTACCTGAGTTTGTCTTTTTTTGTTGTTACTTGTTCTTGGCACTGTCTGGTTTTGCTATCAGGGCAATGCTGGCCTCATAAAATGAGTTGGGCAGCGTTTCCTCCTCCTATAGCTTCTGAAAGAGATGATTTAGACTTGCTATCTCTCCAAATAATTGCTTTTGCATTCATGGGCCTTTAAAATTTTTTTTGTCAGTTTCATTGATTTTTGCTTTATTTCTGTTATTTCTTCCCTTCTGCTTTATTTCTATTATTTCTTCCCTTCTTCTTGGATTTATTTTGCTTTTCCTTTTCTAGATTCTTAAGGTAAAAATTTGGGATATGAGACCTTTCTTCTTTTATAGTATTAGCATTTAATTCTATAAATTCCTGTTACGTGTTTTCTTTTTTTTTTGTTTTGTTTTTTTTTTTTTGGTTTTTTTTGGTTTTTGGTTTTTCTCCGGTACCGGGAACCGAACTCACGACCTTGCGCTTGCCAGGCATGCGCTTTGCCGCTGAGCTAAATCCCCAGCCCCTGTTACGTGTTTTCTTAACATTTCACACATCTGAATATATTGATACTGTATTTTCCTTTTTGTCTAGCTCAGAGTTTTTCCTAGTTTTGCTTAAAATTTGCTCTTCAACTCGTGGATTATTTCTGAGTCTGTTGTTTCATATGCAAGGTTTGGAGACTTTCTTGTATTTTTCTGTTACTGACTTTTAGTCTGATTGATTCCATTATGGTCAGAGAATATATTTTGTGTGGTTTCAGTTCTTTGAGATGTGTGAAGGTTTGTTTTAGAGCCTGCCTATGGTCTGTCTTGGTAGATGCCCCGTGTGCACATGAAAGACTTTATTTTCCTTGGGGGGGGGTAGATTATTTTTCTATAAACGTCCAAATTACATTGTTGGGAGTATTGCTCAGTTCTCTTGTCGCTGGTGTTTCTGTCCGTACCTGTTACTGGAAGGAGAGTGTGGAAGTCTCCAGCTGCAATTGTAGATTTGTCCATTTCTCTTTTCGCTGTTGCTGTATGTGTTTTGCAGCCCTGTGAGGTACAATACATTCAGGATGATCACCTTCCTGGTGAATGGACCATTTTATTATTATATAATGTCCTTTATTCCTGTTTCTGATATGCATGTGGTTGCCCTAGCTTTTGATTAGTATTTGTGTGTCATATCTTTTTCATCTTTGCACTTCTAATCTACCTCTGTCATTATATTTGATATGAGTTTATTATATAGTTGGGTGTTTATTTAAATTTATTTTTTAATTGTGCATATTTGGGTGTACCATGTGATGTATTGTTGTATGTATACACTGTATAATGTTTAAATCAAGGTAAATATTTATCTCCTCAAACATTTATCATTTCTGGATGGGGAAACATTCAAGACCATCTCTTCTAGCTTTTAGAAATGCATACTATCTGTGGTCGCCCTGCTGTGCAATAGAATTTGTACTCTTACCTAACTGAAACTTAGGCTCATTGATAAGCCTTTCCTTCTGTCCACCCGCCCACTCACCAAGAGAGCGTGGGCAAGGGTTGTTTATAAAATGTATTCTGGAAGTCTGTCTTGAACAGTATATTTAGACCATTTACATTTCATGGAAGTACCAGTATGTTGGGCCAGGGATATAGCTTAGCGGCACAGCACCTGCCTGGCAAGTGCAAAATCCTGAGTTCGGTTCCAGGTACCAAAAAATACATTAGTATATTTGAATTTAGGTGCAATATTTTCTCTTCTCCTACTTCTTCCTCTCTCCTTCATTTGAGTAATTGAACATTGTTAGTATTACATTTTAATTTACCTACTGCTTTTACTGTATAGCTTGTTTGTATTAGTTTGGGTAGCGGTTGTTCTAAGGATTTCAGCATACGCACCATCTGCTTGGCCTCAGTATTTCACCATCTAGGATGGAAGGGGGAGACCTGGCTACCGCACAGGCCTCCCTTCCCCATCTTGATGGTGTGACATACAGACCCATTGAAAACCCGATCAGATCGTGCAGTGAGTTTTACTTTCAGTCATCAAGCATATTTTATGAAACTCAAGAGGAAACAGTTTTATATTTATCCAGATAGTTACCACTCCCATTGTTCTTGTTCATTTGATGTTCCAGGTTTATATCTGGTGACACTGACCTTCTAACTGAAGCTGGTTGAGCTTTTCTCTCTCTCTTTATTTTTCCCTCCAAATCTATTTGCAGCAAATTCTCTTTTTTCTCCGTGTCACACTTACTCCCCAAGAATATTTTCTCTAAATATGAGAGTTCTGTGTTGGTGATTCTTTTCTTTCAGCAAGGAGATCACTTCTAGCTGGGAGGGCAGTAGAGCACAGTGATACCTCCGTTCACGAACACTTGGTTTGCAAACTCTGTATCAGGTGACCGCACAACTGGGGCTATCATGCCTGCACAAACACAATGTGGCCATCTTTTCCAGAATTGTGGAACAAATTAAGTTCATGAATCAAGGTACCGCTGTACCTGCCTTCCCTGAGCTCCATCCCCAGCAGCACCCACCTTAGAAAAAGGTGTTGCTTCTTTCTGGCCTTCATAGTTTCTGATGAGAAATCTGCAGTCACTTTGATGGTTATCGCCCTTTAAATAGTATCTGTTCTCTCCAGCTGCTCTCAAGATGTTTTCCTTTATCTTAGCTCTTAGTAGTTTAACTGTGATGTGCCTGGGCCTGGATTTCTTTGTGCTTATTCCAAGTTTGCTGAGCTGCTTCAATCTGTAGTTTTATATCTTGC